CTGGGCCACAGTTGCCTCTAAAATGGACAGCTGTTCTCCGTGACCTTTTGCCTGAGACACTGGTGACCAGCCTCTCTTGGCCTTCACTCCCCCGGCCAGAGTCTTGGCAGAATATGGACTCCTAGGAGGCCACCACCCAGCCCAAGATGGGACGTGGGGTTCCCAGCAGACAGGCCAGCCGGGTCCCCTTCCTGTAGCCCCTCCTCCTCAGCTCTGAATCCACTTTTTCTGGGCCTCAGCCCTCCTCCTTCCTCCCAGAAAGTACCTAGTGACTCACCTAACTCTTTCTCTCTCCCTGTCTCCCCCACCCACCCACCCCCTCCATTTCGATCTCCCCTCTGCCCTTCTCCTGGCCCCGCACTCCCCTCTCCTCACTGGCCCCACCCCCTCCTCCCCCTCCTGGTGTTCTGACCACCCCCACCCGGTCCCCCTGCCCCTCTTATTTTCTAGCTGTTACAAGCCAGAGGCACCCGGATGTGAGGCCCCAGATCACCTCCAGGGACTTGGGGTTCCGTTCTGAAATCCTTTATTTTTGTACCACGGGGTGGGCCCCCGGCCCGAGGCAGAGGAAGAGCTCTCCCCGCTGTCAGCTCTGTCTACACCCCGGGGGATGTCATTCACCCCTGCCTCCGGGGTCCGGGAGAGGGCCCGCGGGGACCTCTCAAGTCCTGAGGTGGGCCCTGGGACCCCTGGGCGGAGCTGCCTGCCTGTGGCCGAAGTGTGGTGTTGTCCAGCTGTGTCTCCCAGGCCCCCGCGTCCCTGCCCCCAGGGCCCCCAGCTGCATGGCGAATACTCCGCTCCCCCCCAGCCCAGTCACGTCACCTCCTTGAGCCTCAGTCTCCCTGCGTGTCACCCAGGTCACATCCTGCCCTGCCTACCTCACAAGGTTGTTGTGAGGTTACCAAGAGGGGCAAGAGCCCTGAAGGCCCTCGGGGAGGGTGAAAAACGCAGGCTGGCCCGGCACAGAGATGCAGGGATTGGTGGGGGTGAAAGGTCTGGGGGTCGACCACATCGGAAGGAGGGGATGGGTGACTTGGCCTTCAGCTTGGCTGCTCCCCACGCCCACGCCCACCCCGTCCCCGCCATCTGTACTTCTGGGCGCAGAGTGACCTGGCCAGGAGGGAGGCAGGCACTGATCCAGCAGGGGCAGCGGGGCCCCTCAGGACCTGATGATGAGGGAAAGGGGACCGTCCTCCCTCCACACAGGGAAGAGTCTGGGGCTGGCAGGGGCTGGGCGAGGGGCCTCTCGCCTTTATGGGCTCCTGGGCCAGGTACTTGCTTCTCAGTTGTGTCCAACCCTGTCGTGTAATAAAACCTGAAGAAACAGCCGGCCTGGCTGCCTCCCTTTCTCTGGGCCATGTCTGGGGACAGTGCTCCGTGCACTTAGTTGTGTCCGATTCTTGCGACCCTGTGGATGAGTCCACCAGGCTCCTCTGTCCATGCGACTTTCCAGGTAAGAATACTGGAGTGGGTTGCCATTTCTTCCTCCAGGGGATCTTCCTGACCCAGGGATTCCTGCATTGCAGGTGGATTCTTTGCCTGCTGAGTCATCGGGGAAGTCCCTTGGATCAGGGGCTAAACTTAAGGTGGGATAGACAGCCCAAAGGTAATGGGGCTTTTTCCTAAAGTCCTGGGACCTGCCTGTTGTCACACTCCTGTATGTGTTGAGGGGGAGCATCATGGCCAGATCCTCTGTCCTGTGGGTGGACGCCCAGGGGACCAATGCTGCCTTGCTGGGTGAACTTTGGAAAGTATCTGCCCCTCTCTGGTCTGTTTCTTCATGGGTAAAAGCAAGGGGTTGGATGAGGTGACTGCTAAGGCCCTGCCCCTGGGGTTACTCAGTCTCTCACGGCCTCCAGGCAGACCTGGATTAGCTGGAATGCTGAAGGATGGGGAGCTGGGCTTCTGGGCATCTGGAGTTTCCCTACCTCATTTCACCATTCAGCTGGCCCTCTGCTCCCTGGCTTTGCCCTGCCACTTCTGCTCCATCCTAATCTCCCAGGATGTCCCCTCTGCTTCCCGCTGTGATACCTTCTGGTCACCTGCACCCTCTGCCCCAAGTCCTAAGAAATACGATCCCCAGGCTCCCCTCCATCTTCTCAGAGTCCAACAAAGCCCCGCCCGCCCCCACCCCACCTGGCCAATTCCTTCACCATGTGCTGGTCCTACTGAGTGTCTACTTTGCCTCCCCTCCCCCCAGCAGTTTAGCATTGCAGGTGTGCGGGGGACATCTCTGCAAAGCTGTGATCCCCTAAGCAGAGGCCCTCCCAAGCCCACTCAACGACCAGGGGGTCCTCACCACTTCTCTTGGGGCCACGTGGCTCTCTGGAGTTAACTTCACTTTCTGTATTGCAAAAGGGTCACCAGGGGGCTTGTTAAAAACCAGATTACATGCCCCCCCCCCCAATTCCCACTAAGACTAGGATAAGGCCAGGAATTTGCAGTTTAGCAAAGTACCCTCTGGCAGTATTCTGCTCCCCCTCTGAGAGGCCCCCCGGAGTCATCCTGTCCCCTCCCCAGAGGTGCCCCCCCATAGCAGCTGCTCCATCCGCTCCATCCGCTCCATCTCCACAGGAGGGACCCAGCAGGTGGAGGGCTCCCCACACGTGGCTCCGGTGACCACATCTTTTCTCCCTTTGAAAACCCTCTGGAGACTAGGTCCCCACCGGGGCTCCCCGCTTCCTCTTCCTCCCACTCAGTTAGGCTCCAAGGAAGACTTGTCTGTGCTGGACACCCCCGTTCCTCACCTCCACCAGGGCCCACCCCCCAGCCCTCCCTGATCACTGCCACTCAGGCCACAGCCTTGGCTGCTAAGACCCCACCCCCTCAGCTCCCCTCCAGCCACTGGACACAGCACTCAGCCTTCTTCTCTGGGCCCCCACTTCTGCCGTGCGTGTGTCTCCCCTACCTCTTTGGTCTTCCCTGGACCACCTTCCATGCGGGGTGGTTGGAAAACCCCGCCTCCAAATCTCAAGCTCTGCCTATCTCCTGGACACCTCCCTCCTAGAGGCACCCTAAGTTCATGATACCTTCCCAGAGCCTTTCCCTCCCCAGGTGCCCCAGGTCAGGCAATGGGTCCTCCACCAGCCCAGCCGAGAGAGGTCTTCAGATTACCCCCGCCACCAATGCACCTGGAGGATAATGAAGGTCCTTCAGTGCTGTATCCATCCCCACTGCCCTGCTCAGGCCAGGCCTCCTCCTTCTCTTCTTGAGTTCTACAGCAGCCTCCTCACCAGCCTCCCTGCCTCCCATTTTCTCCATGCTGATGTCAGTGTTGGTTCTAAATGTGAAGCCACTTGCGTGTCCCTTTCCTGCTCTAGAACCTTTCGTGGCTCCCAAGAGTGCCCAGCATCAGATCTCCAGCTCCACTCCAAGCTCTTTGCCATCTCATCTCAGTTTGCCCTTCCCCAAAGGAATTCTGCAAAGAATTCCTTTGCTGTGCCCCTAACCCCAACCTCTGTCCCAACTAAAAACAACTGACTTTCCCTAAGAAGCCATGGACTCTGAGGACTCTGCACATCCTCTTCCCCTGCCTGGAATGCTCTTCCCTACCTTGGCTGCCTTTGAATCCCAACTCAAGTTTCCTCCTGGCAGCCCTCTCTGACTTTCCAAGTTACTGGCTGCCTCCCCCAGAACCCTTCACACTGGATCACCATCCCACCCCTCCCGAGATCAGGAGCTGAGTTCTGTGCAGCTCCATGACCCCACTACAGCACTTGGCACGTGGTCAGAGCCTGTGAGGTGCTGAATAAGGGATGCGGAATGCAGAGGTAGTGCTGAGACAGAGAAGTGGTCGCCTGGGAGTCAAGAGACAGGGCTTCCGCCCCAGGCTCCACTCCTGACCCCTCCCTGGTGCGATCAGGAGGCTCTCTGCCCCTCAGTTTCCTCCTAGGCTTCCAGAAGGAGCCCGTCACTTGTCCCAGCCCTGACTCTGAGCTGTGTGTGTCTGACTCTGTGGCCCAATGGACTGTAGCCCGCTATGTTCCTCTGTCCAAGGGATTTTCCAGGCAAGAATACTGAAGTGGGGTGCCATTTCCTCCTCCAGGGGATCTTCCCAACCCAGGGGTTGAACCTGCGTCTCTTGCGTCTCCTGCTTGGCAGATGGATTCTTTACCACTAGCGCCACCTGGGAAGCCCGACTCTGACCTGAGGGCACCCAACCACTGCCTTCCCAGGATGGCTCCTGGGACTTAGGCAGCTGCCCTGGAGGCAGGCCCTGCTCCCACTGACCTCACCATTGGCCTTCTGGACACTTAGCCAACAGGCTGAGCAGCTAGCAAGGGTCTGTTCAGTCAAGGGCATGAGATTGGTGCTGGGGCCCCATTTAACCCCCAGAGCAGAACCTTGGGTCAGACAGCTTTATTCCACAGGGCAGCTGAGCTCACCTCCTGGTGAGAATGGGCAGTGAAGTCCCAAGGGGCAGGTGGGGTTGGGAGGACCCTGGACCCCAGGCTGCCCACCCTTTGGCTTACAGTGGTGGCTGGCTCACTTGGCTGTCTCCAGGACTCTAGGGGCCTTCCTGTGGGAGCACCTTCCTCCTCCACCACTCAAGTTGGGCCGAGGGCTTCAAAGGCTGGAATCTGCTATCTGGAGAAGGTGCCATCCCAACAGCCTTTGCACTGGGCCAGGGGCGGTGGCGGGGGGACCTGGCAGCCACAGGATAGCTGCTTAACTCTTCCCCCCAAAGTCAGCAGCAGAGGAGGGGGGGAGGAGAAGAGAGAATGAGGAGGGGACAGCCTGGATGAGAACCCCCCCATCCAGGACTGGTGACCATCCCAGGCCCTCAGGGGTGGTCTGGACCACCAGCGGATGGCCCTCCTCCCTCCTTGGACCCTCACTGAGGCTGATTATCGGGCAGCAGGTTGGGGGACAGGAAAGATACCACCTCCTGTCCCCTCCGGGCCCTGCTGCCTGCAGAATACTTGCTCTCGACACCCCGGTTGGTGCCCTGGGCTGTCTGAGTCCAAGAGGTAGGCCCCTGCTCTGCAGGGGCCAGCTCCTCAAGTCAGCACCTGCTGGATCCAGCCGATCACACCAGTGATGCGGGTGTAGACGCCAAAATAGTTGGGCCGGCCGCAGCCCAGACCCCAGCTGACCAGCCCTGCCAGGAACCAACGGCCACTGGGCTCCTTGCACACCAGCGGGCCACCCGAGTCACCCTGTAAGGCAGGGAGAGACAGGACTACGTCAGGGTAAAGGAATCCACTTTCAGGTAAAGGGCTGGACTACTGGGGATATTCTGAGAGTGACAGCAGGAAAATCACATCCCCTTTGGAAGCCTCTGATACATGGAGGGAGTCTGAACCAACCCAGCCTGTCCTCCAGCGGGGCCTGGCTGTCATGGAGGCTTGACTGTGTGTCCCAGTGCCCTGCCCAGCTCTGCTTCCTTTCTGTGGGCTCCATCTAGCCCTCTCTGCTGGGTCACTTGGGCAAAGTGCCTCTCAGAGGGTAAGGAGCAGAGCTGGGGTTGGGTCTCAGACCTGGCCCCCAGGGTCTCTTCTGATCTGGGGTCTGCAATCTGGAGCCAGTCTCGCAACCTCCCAACCCTCAGTTTCCTCATCCACAAAGTGGGGACAGCCAAGCCCAGCTTGCCGTGAGGCTGCTGCAGGCTGCTGTGAGCTGAGGGCCGGGCCCTGGGTGATGAGAGCAGTGCCGTCTCCCCCGCCCTCTGGCCCACTCCGCGGGAGTCACCTGGCAAGCATCCTTCTTTCCCTTGAGGTAGCCGGCGCACAGCATGCGTGGCGTCACCTGGTAGCGGTAGGCCTCGCTGCACAGGTCCTGTGGGATCAGCTGCACGTCCACCTTCTGCAGGCCGTTGCTGGTGGGGCCTGCTGGGTGGGGTTGAGGGCAAATGTGAGAGGGTCTGAGATCCCCAGGGCCCGCACTCTTCTCTTGGCTATTCCTCTTGCATTTCAAGAGCTCCTTCCTCGCTCCTGCTCTGCCCACCCTCCCATCTCCGCCCTCCCCCTCACTGACACTGTTCTGGCTCCTTCTCCAAGTGGCTCATAGGGACAGAGCCTCCCTCCCACCCACCAGGGCCAGAGTCCTCCTCAGGTTCCCCTCCACTCCCTCCTCCATGAGGCCTTTTGGCCGTCTCCCCTCTTCTCTGTGACAGCCCTGGGGGACTTTTCCAGAGCACACACCTCAAGCCTCCGCTCCCACCTAAAACTCAGTCAGCCTGCTCACTGTCCAGCCAGCGCTTCTCCACAAGGATGTGTGTTAGGGCCCCGCCACACCCCCACCCCCAATGGAGTTTCAATATACACCCTGTGCCTAGCTCCACTGGAGGATCCGGTCTGTTCAGCTGGGGTGGGACCCAGACACTGGTTTTCTTTCCCGAAGACCCGAGACCTTCGTTCAGGTCAGGAGTAGGAATCCTGGCTCAAGATCCTGACTGAGATCCCCTGCCTGTCCTTCCCGCCCGTCCTCACCCAGATCCACCTGCTCCTGGCTCCCCTCTGGTGCTGGGTGTACTCAGGTCGGTTGCCACCTATGCTCTTACCAAAAACGCCTTTCTGCTTTGCTGGGACACTGCTGACCCACCCTGCAAGCCTCAGCTCAGCCCACCCCTCCTCTGGGCTACCATTGCCCCCACACCCCCATCCATGTCAGCTCTTAACACTGTCTCCTATTCATTTTTATACTACTTTGTCCAACTCAATGCCTGCCATATAGCAGGTGCTCACAAATGTGTCACTGAATGAATGAATGAGCAAGTGAACTGATCCTTGCTTGACCACTGTTCTCTATCATCCTCTTGGATAAGTCACTTTACACGTGAGCTTCAGCTTCTCCATCTTTACATTATCCCTCAACTTCACCCACCTCCAGATTGTAAAGCACAGTATACACTCCTGAAAGCCACCACCACGAAGGGTGCAGGGCATGGCCATAGTCATGTACAGAACTAAGAGCTGGCCCCTAGACACAGGAACCTCTGGTCAGTGTAGGAGGGAAGGACAGAAACTCATGTTTCTGAGAGGCAGTAGCAGGAACAGCAGAGTCTCTGGGGTCAGACATTCCTGGGTTCTATTCTCTATTCCAACCCTCCCTGGCTGTGTGACTTTGAGTCAATGCTAGATGTCTCTGTTTTCCCATCCTTAAGATGGGGTCCATGATAACCAATAACTAGAGTTGTTGGATGGATTAAATGAAATCATGTTCCCCTAAAGTTTAACCTCCATGTGGTAAGTGTTAATAATTAAAAGTCTCCCCCCAACACAGACATATACACCGCCACCTTCCACTGTCCAAGGAGCAGAGGGTTGGAGCTTGCCCTTGGGCCATGGGGTCCCTGGCCCGCCCTGTCACCCCACACATATCCCCCAGGATTGCCTCCCATGACTTTGGTTCTCCGTAAGTGCCCTTCTGCAAGGAAGGGAAGGGCCAGGGGGACAGGGACCCATGGCCACAGTAAAAGTTTTATTTTTATTTTTTCTATGAAATCCAACCTCATTTAATCCAGGACTAGCAGGCCTCAGAAGTGGAGCCCCAGGGTCCCTTGCCAACTCCCCTCCTGGCTCAGAAGTTTGGTGAGCCAGACCCACCCTGTCTCCCCCCTGCCCGCAGTCTAGCTCACCGCCTTCTCGCAGGGCACCCCAGCCCGTGATCCAGCAGTGCAGGCCCGGCTCGAAGAAGTGGGAGCGGGCAGGCAGGCAGACGGGATGCACGGCGGCCGAGCGCACCACGGGGTGGTCGAGCTGCAGCAGGGCCACGTCGTAGTCGTGGCTGTCCTCCTCGTGGTACGGGTGCAGGAGCAGACGGCTCACCTTGAAGGACACCTCGCCCGGCCAGCGTGAGCTCTGCCACACTTTGCCCAGGAACACGGTCCATAGCGCCGGGGATGCCATGCTGGGGGTGGGAGGGGGACTCGCTCAGTGGCCACCTCCCCCATCCCATCCCGGATCCCTCTGATAGCCAGCATCCCCACCTGGGACCTGGTTCCCCACACCCATCCCCACCCTGCTCTGGGAGACCGTGCAGCTGGCAGGGTGGTGCTCAGTGCTGGCCCTGGAGTCTGACTTCAGCCCCAGCTTCATCCCTTCCTAGAGGTGTGTGTACCTCTCTAGGCCTCAGTCTCCCCATCTGTGAAGTGGGAATAGCATCTTCTGCTCATATGTTCCTGGGGGAATTCAATAAGACTGTGAATGTAAAAAAAAATCAGCGCAGTGCCAGGCACCGGCAGACGTTTTCTGCACGCTTTATAGATGGAGCAACCCCTGGAAATTGTGGGTCCTCAGGAGAAGCCGGTGGGAGTTGAGTGTGAAAGAATCGGCAGAGACTGGGCTGTGCAGACACCTGCAGGCCAGGTCAGCATCCAGGTCTTTCTCCACCTTGTGGACAGTGGGGAGCCAGGGATGGAGTGAAAGAACCTGGGTAGTCAGACCACACCCAGAAGGGCACCTGGGCACCCAGGCATAGGATGCAGAAGGGAGCTGGACTCTGGGCTGCTGCAGTGACCCAGGGGTGATGATGGCAGCATCGATGTGCAGTGGCTGAAGATGCATTCAGACCACTGAGAGGGCTTGCTGCCTGGCTGAGTGGGGGGGGAGACGGAAGGGTGCCCGGGTTGCTCCAGGCCTTCGGCTTGGACTGAGGACAGAGGAGGAGGTGTGGGGAGAGAGTCCAGGGCTGGCCATGCTGGGGGCGGAGTGGGGGTGGGTCTGGAGCACCGGGCATCAGGCTGGAGGTGGAGAGCTGTGGGAGCTGTCAGCCCACCACGGAGATGGGGGGATGTCTGTGGGTGGGCTGAGATGGCCCTTCTTGTGGGCTTCTCTGCACCTCTCCCTCCCCGGAGTGGGGGACAGGCATATCCGGAGGAGGGTGTCACGACCTCTGACCAGGGCAGGAATTCTGTTCTCAGCTCTACCCCAGTGTCTAGCACAGCCCCTGGCACAGAGGAGAAGCACAGCAAATATCGCTAAATGGAGGAAGGAGTAAATGAATGGCTCACGGGCCCAGCTGAAAGCAAGACACCAGAAGCGGAGCACAGCAAGGATGAGCAACCTTTTCCAGGGCACAGAGTGTGTTCGTGGTAGAGTCAGGGCTGGACCCGAGTGTCGGGACAGCAAGTCTGAGGGGCTTCCCACCACCCTCCCCTCTGTCTGCTGAGATCTCAGACACGCTGCCCCCACCCGCTTGCAACCACCTTCCCTACCCACCTCTCATGGCCTCTGTCCCCAGGCTCACCTCTCCTCCTGGAAGCAGTGGGCAGCGGTGATCACCCAGCGGTCTGCGATGAGGGTCCCCCCACAGATGTGTCGGCCTCGAACCTGGAGACTGGCCTGCCACGGCCACTCACCCTCCGAGGACACGGCCCCGCCCACGATGCGGCCCGAGGGGCCCTGAAGGCCACAGTCTGGGGGCAGGGGCAAGGGTGGACGGAGGGACAGGGGCAGGAGGGATCCAGTGAGAAACAGAGAGAGAGCCAGAAGGGGAGGCGTGGAAGAGGAGAGAGGAAAGACACAGAGGGGCCCAGGGGAAGAGAATGAGGGAGCGAGAGAGAGGTGGGCATGAGGGGGCAGAGGCAGGGTAAAAAGAGACAGATGGACAGACGGTGAGCTCTCCCTCCAGGCCCCCAGGGTGGGCACCTCCCTCCCTCCCATGCTCGTGGGCCCAGCAGGTGGAGGGTATCCTGCCCACCCCAGCCTGTCGGAGCGCCCAGGGCTCACCGCAGAACAGCTCGTCCGAGCCGTCGCTGCAGTCGGGGTGCCCGTCACACTCTGGGTTGGGCTTCTTCACACAGCTGCGGTCCTCACACTGAAAGGTGAAGGTCCCACAAGGAACCCCTAGGATTGGGGGGACAGGGTGCAGAGTGGGTCCCTGAGCCTGAAGGAGCCTCCAAAACAAAGCCCAGGGAAGACGGAGCCTGAAAGAGGCCAGAAGATGACTGGGGAGGGGTCCCTTGATCACACTAAAGGGTCCCCTGAGGCTCCTTTAGGGTTCCCTAGAGGCAGGCCGTATCCCTCTTTCCATCTCTCCCTCAGACTGTTTTTTGAGAGAAGGTGATGTCTCCCCTCTCAAACCTGGGCTCCTGGTACCTGAAGTCAGAACTGTGCCTCCACCTTGAGATGAGTGAGGCTCCCAAAAGCAAGGCTATGCCCCTCCCATCACACTACCTTGGCTTGGCAGCCCCCCAGGCCCCGACCCACCTAGACACCCACCTGCTCCTCACTACCTTCACTGTGAAGAGCTCTCTGCCCCACCAGCCAGTCTTCACCTCGTCTCCTTTCGTCCTCTATTTATTTCTCTTCAAGGCCCAGTTTGAAGCCCACCTTCTCTGGTTTTCTCAGCCTCATCTCCTCACCCTCCAGTCTTCCTATACTACTGGACATGATGTTCAGAGGCTTTGGCCCAGAGAGAGTAACCCATCTTTTTTTAAATTTTAAATCAGATAATCCCCAGAGGACAGGGACCACTTCTCCGGTGCCTTTTATTTCAATTTCCTTACTCTGCCTTGCATATCACTGGGTAGTCTGCAAGTGAAGGTTGGCTGGTCTGAGGGATGGATGGGTGGGTGGATGGATGGATGGATAAAACAATAGAGACTCAGACAAGATACTGGGCAGACCAACAAATGTGTGGTTTGATAGTCTGATAAGAAGACTGACACGCAGCTATTTAGATGGATAAATGAGTGGATGTAAGTACCAATGAACAAACAAGTAGTTAGATCCCTGGATGGATGCATGCACACGTGCATTCATGGATGCATGGATGGAGGATGGAACAACAGACATACAGACAGGAAATTTGGTAAACAAAACCAATAAATGAGTAGATTGATGGCTTAGTGGACAGGGAGATAGGTGGTTGGACAAGCTGATGGATGAATCAGTGAGTGGATGTATGAATCAATGGACAGATAAATGGTTGGAGAGACCAGAAGATGGATGGATGGATGGATGGATGGAAGAACGGGTGGATGGGTAGATGGATGGATGAATAGATGGATGGATGGACAGATGGATGGGTAGACAGATGGACATATAGGCAAACTTATAGATGGGCTGATAAGTATTTGGACAAGAGGGCAGAAACCTTTGTGGAAGAAGCATGGAGAAGGGCCAGGTTGTCTGGCCGAGTCCGTTCTTTGGTTTTCCTCTAGATACCTAGTCATACTCTGCCCTACCTTCCTGGCATTGCTCTTCGTCACTCCCATTGAGACAGTCGGGCTGCCGGTCACAGACCCTGGATAGGGGGATGCACGTGCTGTCCTCTTGGCACTGGAATGTGGCTCTGCAAACTGTGAGGACACAGAGGCGGGACAATTGGGAGGAAGCCAGAGGCACCAGGCTGGGACTCTGCATCGCCTGGAGACCATGTATGGTATCCCAAGTTATGATCACAAATCTCTTTCTCAGCTACTTTACCCCTGAGTCTCACAGCAACTCAGTGAGATATTCCATTTCACTGGTGGAAAAATGGAAACAAAGTGACTTGTCTGAGGTCACTTGGCTGAGGGAGAACTTGAAGCCAGATGTTCTGGTTCCAAATATGAGGTGCCTTCCCCAGCATGAAAGCAGGATCAGTCCAGAGGCAGGCACATCCCCCTTCCCTCCTACTTCCCTCCCCACATGTATAAGACTTTGATGAGATGCAGGTTGCTGTGATGGTGACTCTGGGGGCCAGAAGCCAGGATTCAGAGGCAGTTATTAGTCCAGGAGAATCCTGGCTTGCGGACCGTCAGAAGCCCCTTCTGATTCCCTTCTGCCAGGGTTGGCTGGCGGTGAGCACAGCCCCAGGAAGAGTCAGCAGCTCCAGTCTGAACCCCTGCAGTGGAGGGTCCTGCTCAAAAGAGGCAGACACAGGGTCCTCTCTTCGGCCACCCTGGGCCTGCCCAACCCTGCGTAACAGCCTTCCTCCTGGTCCTGTCCTCCCTCGTCTGCTCTGTTCCTTCTCGGACGGCTGCCTGGGCAGAAGGCTGAGGGTGATAGCCTGGTGGCGAGAAGCCATGAGCTGGGAAGCAGCATAATTGGGTCCCCGTTTGTCTCTGCCACTGCCCCACGGAGTGGCCCTGGAGAGGACACTTGCCCATCCTGTGCATCCACCCTGCCATCTCAACACAGCGAAGGAGTTTCCTGGATGCTGATAATGGGAGCTGCCCATTGGGAGATCTCGAAATGATAGGCTCAGTCCAGCAGCACGGAGGTGGGGAGAGAGGAGGGACGGGGTGGGCAGGCTGCTCACCGCAGTTTCTCTCATCCAGGCCATTGGGGCAGTCCTTGACCCCATCGCAGGCGGGCACACACAGTCCATTCACGGAGCAGAGAAACTCTCCAGGGCAGGCTGGATGGAGAGAGCACCATCGGGACACACATCATTAGGAAAACACGTGCAGACACACCATTCTTGTGTGCTCACATGTGTACCCATGTGCCTGTGCACACGGTCCATGTGGACATACATGTCTGGGCACAGGCACACAGCACACACTTGGGTATGTATGAGTGTGTATACCTCGTAAACACCTGTGAGTGCTTTGCACATGTGGGCACACGCAAAGCTGCCTATGTTCATGCACATGTGTGGGCACATGAGTGAACACACACACACACACAACACTCCTTTAGACCAGCCTCTCGGTGCTTCCAGGGAGGGCTAAGAAGCAGGGAGAAGCTGCAGGGGCTGTGGGGTCCCCCCCACTCCCCGACCTGCCCATACTCACGGTCTGTCTGGTTGTACAAGCTGTAGAACACCTGCACACCGGGCCCGGTGAGGGAGATCTGGGATGTGAAGTTGATGGTGATGCCGGCGCTGGCCACCACGGGGATCCTCTCAGCGTAGGGCTGCAGGGTGCGCAGACCACAAAGCCTGCGGGGGGACCAGAGGACTGAGGGCTACATGGGTTGGTCCAAGGGACAGGACAGCCTGGGTCCCGGCGCACAGACAGAGCAAGGACAGGGCAGCTGGGGAAGAATGGGAAGCTGCACCCCAGCCCCACCCCCACCTCCTCTGTCTTGGTTTCTCCCGGGGTGACCGCTCACCCCCAGGGTCATCTAGAAAGCAGCCTGGCAGTGTCACTGCCCTGCTCAGAAGCCTTCAACGCCTCCCCATTGCTGGCAGGATAAAACTTATCGTCTGGATTCTAGTCCCAGTCAGAATCCTAAAATGGGTCTAGGGGTCTAGAATGGGTCTAGTCTAGTCCCAACCTAGGAGCCTTGAGATTCTAGCAGGTCAGAGTCCTTCTCTGGACTTCACTTTCCTTGCTTATAAAACAAGGGAAATTCGCCTCTCTCTTGACCTGACAAAAGGCTCCAATGTGTCAGTGGAAGGAAAATTCCTTGACTGGTCTACTCTCCATAGACAAGAAGGGATGTTCCTATTGTACTCAGAGTGGGGCAAGAAGACAGCCATGTTCTCTATTCAAGCCCGCGCCTCCCACTAGGTCTCCACAGCCCTGGGGGGGGCTTCCCTGTGGCTCTCTGGACATGAGTGGGCACCAGTGCTGCTCCAGGACCAACAGGTGATGGGCAGCGCCTTCTCAAGCATGGCCACTCCCAGGTGGGACCATCCCTCAACCATGGGAGCACATTCATATCCCTGTTGGTGCCCCCCGCCGCCCCCACAGATGATGCTTTTGTTCCCACAGATCAGGTGGGAGACCTCCATGGAAAGGTGGAGTCCCACCCCTTGGGGAGCAGGTAGGAATCCTCCCAACTCCAGGGCAGGGGGCACAGAGGGCTCTTTCCACACAGCACTGGTCCCAGCTCGCCTCACAGAGCAAGTGGACATGCCTTCACAGAAGGTGCAGCCATGCCCCCAGAGTGGCAGGACCTGCTGCAGAGAGCAACCCGGGGTACCCTGCCTTCCCAGGTGGGACACCCTCATGGAACAGATGGGTCAGCCCCACCAGATCATAGGAATGCACACCCCCATTGGGAATGCCTTTACAGATGAAAGAAACACCCAGAATATGGGTGGAAAAGTCTGCGGGGAGAGGTGAAAATGCCCCTAGCAGAGAAGGTAGGAGGAAGTCAGGAGAGCACATGAGAGTGCCCCAAAGCATGATGGGAACATCTCACAGCAGATGCAGCAGCCCACACTGCAGGTCCCCTAATTGCCAGGGGTCAGAGGCTTCCTCATAGCTCCTAGAGCATGGCAAGCACTTACTGGTTCAGTAATAGTTGGAGGCCTCATTGCATGGGGATTTTGAGGTCGCAGCAGCTCCACCCTGTAAACAGGAATTGTTCTCATCCTGTTTTCCAGATGAAGCTCAGCGAGGGAAGTGCCACGGTAGGCAAGAATGCAGCCTTCTCAGGACCCAGAAGGCCCCACCTGGCCTGCTCTACCGGGAGGTGGGCACCTGGACCCTCAGGCCACATGAGCTCCAGAGGCTGAGCCCTCCTGTCCCCTGTGGCCCGCCTCAGACCTGGCCATACTGTCTGGCTGCGGGAACCCTTTTCTTGCCCCTATGCCAATGTACAGTTCTCAAAATGTGGTCTGGGGACCCTTGGAGGTTCAGAGAGAAAACTATTTTTATAATAATCCTCAGGTACGATTTGCCTTTTTCACTCTCATTCTCCCACAAGGATAAAGTAGAATTTTCCAGAGACTATGTAAGGATGTGCATGTGTGTTCAGTCACTCAGTTGTGTCCAACTCCCTGCAACCCCACAGACTGAAGCCTGCCAGGCTCCTCCACTCATGGGATTCTACAGGCAAGAATACTGGAGTGGGTAGCCATTCCCTTCTCCAAGGGATCTTCCTGAGCCAGAGATCACACCTGGGTTTCCTTCATTGCAGGCGGATTCCTTACTGTCTGAGACCCTAGGGAAGCCCCCATGTAAGAATAGAGTAGAATTTTCCAGAGACTACGTGATATGTGATACAGTATCCCACTGAACGAAGAAGCCGGTGTGGGGATTCAGTCCTGGTCTATTAATCCAATTACTAAAGAAAGTTGCAAAAACATAAAATGAGGATATTTTTCTTCACCAAATGTTTTTAGTTTTGGAAAATATAATTTGTTTTATGTTAAAATGTAATGGGTTTCTTATTTTAAATGATAAATATGTTTAAATGTTTTAAGTTTTCATCTCTACTACTGTACATATAGATTACAAATATAGTTTTTATATGAGGCATATAACTCTCTGGGTTGCTCAATAATTTTTAAAACAGTGTAGAAGGTTCTGAGATGGAAATTTTTGAGAACCAGGGCAGTACAGCCCAGGGGGACCAGAGAGGGATGCGGTGCCACCAGGGGGCGTCCTGAGCAAACCTGGCCCTTACCCTTTCAAAGCTAAGGAAACAAGGGGCAGATATGGTGTATCTGTTTTTAAAGTATTTTACTAAAAGTTATCAAGGGTTGCTACCCCCAGAAACTTGTCCTGAGGAGTGGACAGGGAATCTGGGTGTTGGGAAATACTGAGCAGGGGGAAATGAGAAATCAGGGGCATCCTGAACATACAAGGTTCAGGGGCCTGGGGCATTGTCCCCACCCCCTCACCGTGGACAGGGATAGAACCAAAGCTGGGTTGGAGGGGAGGGGAACGTTATGGTTACAAAGAATTGGAGGGCTGCATGGTCGCTGTGGCCAGAGGCTCTATGAACATTTTGGGGCAAGGCTCTTCGTTAGCAGACGTGAACGAAAGAATCCAAGGCAGAGGCTGAAATCTAGCGACGCAGGCTAAATTACTCAATCGAAAGAGGATCTATTTAGCCTATGCAGTGTTAAAAACATTTTAAAAACTGCATGTGCCAGCTAATTTCACATAACGATCTAGATTCTTGCTTCTGAAAAATACACCCCAGAAACACTGTCTGGAAGTAATCAGAGGCTGCCCGAATTAGCCAGGGCATGTACAGTCCAGCTAACGAGGCTCCTCCCTCCCTTGCTCCCTCTCCCCCACGCAGCCCGGCTTATGGAACTACACATGGGCTTGGCCTCTTTGCCACATCTTTGTTTCTGGTTCTTCCTGCAGTGCCTTCTGGGAGAAGGTTTAAATCCCCTGACTCTCCAATCCCTCCTCATCCATCAAATGCTGCCCCCCACCCCCATACACCCTCTCCAAGGAGCGCCAAAAGTCTGAAGACTGTGGAGCCCACCTCTCGTCTCAGCTACAAAGTGCTCGGGGTCTGAAGGCACCATTTTTTGTACTCATGCCTGCCTTGCTTTCTCCCTTCTCTGAAGGTGGGGAATTTTGCTTCTTGCCTCAAATAGACAGCAAGCAGGGATCCGGTCAACCTTGCATATCAGCATCTCTAGCTGAATTCAGGGGGTTCAAGAAAGATTGGATGGTGGATGGATAGAAGGGTGGGTAGATGGAAAGAAGGAAGGGTGGGTTGGTGTATTGATGGATGGATGAATGGATGGAAAGAAGGAAGGATTGATGGATAGATGAAGGACTGAAGGTGGGTGAATGGATAGATGGATGGATATACACACACAGATATTCCCTTCCCTCAAGACAGGCTGAATGGGAAAGAGAGTCAGAGAAGGTGAGCACTGAAAAGAGGAGGTCAGCAGTGTCTCACGTGGCCAGAGCACTGGACCTGAAGCTGCAGAGCTGAGGCTGAGGCTGGGCTTTGCCACATGAACCAGCTGTGTGACCTTGGGCATCTCGCTCAACCTCAGCAAGCTTCTGTTTTCATGTCTGTAGTAAGACGGGGTGGTAGCTCCCTGTAGGATGTTTTATGGCATGAATGAGAAGGGATTTCTTTGAAAACTAGCTGCTGACATCGTCCGGCTGTGAGCTCACAGAGAACAGTAGCTCCTCCTTCCATATTGCCAGCCCTCAGCAGTGCGCAGGGAGCCTCTGGGGCCACATAGAAGCTCTGGAAACCAGAAGGGCTACCCCATAGCCAGGCCCAGCCTGCTGGGCTCCAGTAGGCTTAAGGAGCCAGTGACTCTGCCCGTCGCCATCGGCGAAGTGGAAATGGTTGGGCAGATCACAAGAAAAGTGACATCACAGGAGAGGAAGCTGGCAGGAGGCAGGTTCCCGGAAAGGGGGAAGCCTGTGCCGTATTGACGCCCCGTCAGAGTGGGTTCTGTGAAACTCAGCTGCTGCTGGCCGGATGTCACAAGGTCAGCTCCCTCCCTCGCCTCCTGGCCACTCAAAGGGCATGAGGCCTAGTTGGCCAGGGAGAAACTGCGGAGGAAAGAGGGAGGTGGGGGGAAGGCAGAAAGGGCTCAGAGGAGGAAGGTGACATGCCCAAGGATGCCTCGCTAATGGAGGGAGCCTGGCCAGCCTCTCCTTATTACTATGCTGGCACTGAGGGGTGAGACCCCCTCTTCCCCAACCTACCCTCTGTCGCCTTGTCAATAGCCATTCTGTGCGTCCCCCTCCTTATAAATCCTGTGCCTGGAAATCTACACCCTTCCCCAGACCTCTCGTGTCTCTACCACCCACACAAGCAGATTTTCCAACAAATGCTTATTCAAAGAATTTCCCAGCAACTACATGGGCTGATGGTTATCAAAAAAGATCAGAACTAGAGGAAATGGTTTGCCCAGTGCTTGCAATCTGGAGGTACACCTCTGCATCCCCTTTCGTACTCAGACACGGGCAGGAGCCTCGGGGCAGGGGGCCACGAGTCTCTCCCAGGGACCCTGACCCTTACAAAGGTCTGTGAAGACAGAGATGGGACTTCCCAGGTGGCTCTCAGATGTGGTGAGAGACAGCAGTGGTCAGTCCCCTTAGCAGGGTGCCTTGGCCATGGGAGGGAACAGCTGACTCGGCTGCCCCAAGGCTCTGAGGGAAGACCGCACGAGTGTGAGGGCGCATACTCTCACCGACACGCGCTCACAGGCCTGCACGCCCTCGTGCATGCTCTGGATCTTACCACTCAACTCTGGTTTCTCTAGTTATGAGCTGGGTGATTTTGTGGGACCGCTGTTGCCTCTCTGTGCCTCGGCCCCTCATAGGTCTATGAAGGCATCGCGGGGCCAGCTCCCTCACCAGGTTGCTGAGGATGAAAGAAACGGCACCCGAGCTCAGGGCCTCCCTGGCGCAGAGTCAGAAGCCAGTTCTGAACGCATGGTTGGTGCCTTCCTGAACTGGGCTTTATCCCAGCCTGAAGGAGCCAGCAACCTCTACCCATAGTTTCAGTTACTCTTCCCTGGATGGGAGGGCTGCTTCATGCCCACGTTTTAGATGCTTTACTTGAGGCTGAAAAAGGTGAGTCCTTGCCAAACAGAAGGAGAGGAACCAGGACTTGAACCTGCTTTCTTATTTCAATAGCTATACTCTTTCTACCTCCAGCCCAACTTGGAATGACATTTCATTAGGAACTACTATACTCTTTCTACCTCCAGCCCAACTTGGAATGACATTTCATTAGGAACTAATAAACACAACTTACTGGGAGACATCTTTCTGATGGGTAAATAATAAAAAGTTAGGGCCTTGGGCTGGCCTAACCCCCTTGTTTTATAGGTAAGGAACGGGATGTACCTAGAGTTACGTGCAAAAACAAGTGGACAGGCTTCCCTGAGCACATCTTTATCACCCCAGCATCCCCTCTGTTGCCTCTCATCGATGGCCAAGGTGGAAGAGGCTTCAGAAGAGAGAGGAGGGTGGGAGCACCAGGCCCTGTGGGGCTTCACCCTCCTCACCCCACCTGCCACCCAGCTACACCCAGGTCCCTTGCCACTACTTCAAGACAAAGAGACAAGGACAAGAGGCCAGGAACTTCCCTGGTGGTCCAGTGGTTAAGAACCTGCCTTCCAATGGAGGGGATGTGGGTTTGATCCCCGATCAAGGAACTAAGATCCCACGTGCCACAACTAGAGAGAGTCACAATGAAGACCCAGTGCAGCCAAAAAATAATAAATAAATAAGTAACAATAAAAGGGCAAGTCCTTAGTCCGCCTTTGGCCTCAGTTTTCCCACCTGTACAATGGGCAAAATAGGCTTCAACAGCCAGCCCAGCCTACTTTTCTGTAGTTCAATGGTGCTATGAGACACTAGGGAGAGTGAGACTCCTCCAATTTTGGTAGATTCTGTCACAGTGCCTGAAATTTCACCATTGCAGCATCATTCCTTTTGATGAAGACTCTCCCCATCTGTGATCCACCCTTGAAACCCAAGGGCAACTCATGAAGTCCTACCACCTAATGCCCCCACCTCTGCCCAACCCTCTTGGCTGCGTCAGGGAGGCAGGAAGGAGGACCTCCAGGGGAGCACGGTGTGGACCACTGTATGTCCCGCTGTTCCCATGGTGTGCATGGGAGAGGGACCCTGACTCTGGACCCATCTGGGTACCACTTAATCCCACTGAGCATTGATTTCCTTCTCTGGGAAATGGAATGATGATACTGCTGACTTCACAGGCTGTCAGGCCAGTGAACTGATGCCCTGTGCTGAACAACAAGCAGGTGGAATGGGGCACCTGATGCCGGAGTCCACCTCCCAGCCCATGGAATAGCCTTGGGGGTGGGAGGTACGTGAAGGAGCATCAGACCCAGGGCCCTTCTGTGTTCCGAGCTCCTCTTTGAGATATCAGATTCACGTCTAGGGTTGAGAAGGCAACAGGAAAAGATGTTAACCTCATTCGGAGAACGATGAATCAAGGACCACTCTCCAGGTCACTCTGGGGGCTCCTGATGCTGGGTGGGGGGTGAGCCCAGTCATCCTCAATCTGGGTGGCCCCAAGCCGATGGGGAGGGGCCCTGAGGGAACTCCATGAAGGATCAAGGCAGTCATGCCCAGAAAGGCCACCCACATGCTGGGACCTATGGGACAAGATGCCTTCTGCTCTCCAAAAAGCAGAGGGCCAGAGTCACACCACTTGACATCACCCCCAAATAGCACAGGCTCAAACTCACATCCTCGGCATGGCTTCTTTTCCCTTTTAATCACAAAAATCCCTGATAGTTTCCCAAACCCCTGGAAAGGATGGTGACAAGTCAATGAGTGTAGTCAATCCCTGACTCCCTTTGTCTGGCTGATGCTTTTCAATAGGATCAACCAATAAGCAAAACCCAAGCATGGGTGAACATGAACACTAACCCCAGAATCCAAGAGTTCCAGAGTCCCAGAACTTTCCAATTTTAATGTATTAGAACCTTTGATATTGAAAATCCATGAAACCAAAAAATCAGGAACCTTGCACATTAGAATCCCAGCCTCTCATAGACCCCTAGGATCTCAGGGTTGGAAGGAAGAGCAGAGGCCCAACCTGCGATGAGATGTAGAATCTTCTCTTGGGCATTCTTGGACCCCAGGTTGGGAGGGGGCTCCCCAGTTCTGCAAGGCTACTTTGAGATCCCTTTTCTCTCCCCAAGCTTCTGCCCCACCCCTGCAAGGATGGTGCCATGGCAGGGTGTTCTTCTGCCCTCCATGCCCCCTGCTCCCCTCCCGCCTCACCCCAGTCCTTGTTACGACCTGTGCTTGAGCCATCCTCTCCCACTATGGGATGCTCCCACACAGTATTTAGACACAGAGCCCCTCCCATCGTACACATCCCCTCCCTGAATGCCCCAGTTCTCTGTCTCTCTCCAGACCAGGGGAAGCTCATCTGCAAGGTCCCCATTTCCCACCTCCCCACACACCACACTCCTTTGCGACTGCCAGGACCACCTGTGGCCCTCAGGGGGCCAGCCCCCCTCATCCTACTGATTAAACTGCATTCACCCTGACCAGAGGATGGCCTGGCTCTGCTGTGTCCTGCCCACCTCTCCAAAAGACTCAATGCTTCCTCAGGAACTCTGTCACCAGGGGGCCAAGGGTAGGACAGAGAGCAGGACTGGCATCCCACGAGGTATGCGGGTGACTCAGGATGGCCTCGGGGAGTGGTCAGGTTAGCAGAAGTCACGTGGACTCTGGCTAAGCAGTGTTGAGGCCCAGAAGCTGCTTTACTTTGACCAACAATGGGGGGCAGGGTAAGGGATGGCAACTGGGATGGATTTAGGAAAGGTGCCCCAGCACCACTGAATCCTATGACTCTGCATCATCTCATTTAAGGATACCGGGTGCCAGGCAGTGGGGTGACAGTACCTACAGAAATGAAACCATTTCACTCTAACTAGGATCGACATCCAAGGTGACTGATGACAAATGTGTGTCTGAGACCTCTGAGTGGCAGGAGGTGAGGCTGGGGCTGGAGGTGGACAGGGACTGGGTCAAGGGTAAGGCAACAGGCCTGACCAACTCCACCTCTGCCCTCTTCCCGTGATGCCCCTCTGAGATTCCACACTTGAGCTCCCAAGGGAGGTTACCTGCGGAGAAAGGGAGGGGTTCAAGGGGCGGGTACCTTCTGTTTTGGATGGTCCACTGGCCCTGGGTGCATGGCATGTCGTATTTCTGCCTACGCAATGCGTAGGCATCAAACCAGAGGGCCAAGCCGTAGTCCAGAGAGGGCACCTGGGACAGAGGAGCTGGTCACTAGGTGGGCCATGGGCTGTGGCCCCATCTCCCAGGATCACAAAGCAGGAAGGAGGCCTGCCAACACAGAGTGCTGGCTGGGGCTGAGGCCTGTCAGTCACTCAACAGTCAAGTGTCGCCATGGCCAAGGGAGCCATCCCGTCCACCCCAGAGGGACTAGTACCCAGGGGGCAGCCTGGGTCAGAGGCAGGACAGTGCTCCCCTCCCAGCTGGGGTCCCCAGAGGTCTACAGGCTGTGGGCAGAGGGTAGGTGGGCTCACCGTCAGATGCCAGGAGCAGTGGGTGCTGGGTGAGTAGTAGCTGGGGAAGTACGGTGTGCTGAGGACGCCCTGTGGCTCCAGCCGGCCCTCCAGGGTCAGGTTCACCTCGCAGGCTGGGTCCAGAGAGCAGAAGTTACAGAGGGTTCCTCAGCCCCGCCCCACTGCACCTGCCAGCAGGCGGGGGGCAGCGGAAACCCCACCACCCTGCCTGCCACTAAACAGTACAGCTTAAAGACTGAGTGTGAATGCGTGAGCTTTGGCCCTCTGTGATATGGGGACAATAAAAGTACATACTTCATAGGGTAGTTGAGCAGATTACACAGACATGGCATGTAGTAAGTGCTCAGTAAATGTTTGCTACTGACATCAGCTGTGCAGTCCTTGATCATTTACTGGACGTGTTCACTGCTGCGCCAGCCTCATGGTTACAGGGACTGGGGAGAAAGAACCATTCCCCTTTTCAAAGATGATGAGGTTCAGAGAAGAGGGGCAATTTGGATGAAGTCACACAGTTAGCGGGCGAGGGATGGGGAGCAGCTGTGTCCTCAGCTGCCCCGCCACCTCCCATGGAGCCAAGGTCCCTAAAGCCCTCCTTTCCCTCCCCATTGAGCTGTATCAGAGATGCCCATGAGAATGGGCCAACTCCAGCACTTCTTCAACCTCAGGGACTCCAAAAGGGTCACCTGTGGATTGGGTGACCAACAGGAGACCAAGGGGGTAGAACCAGGGGAGGGAAGGGGAAGTGGGTAAGGAGATTGAGACTGATGGCAGAGGAAGGGAAAGGCGGTAGGCTGTGTGTCCTCGGTATAACCCTCCCTCCACGGAGCCCGGGAAACTTTAAGTTTTGCTTTGTCTTCCTAGAGGTGGCTGATGGATGATAATTGATGGTGATGATGAGAGTCGGCAGGTGTGAAGGGTGGGGCCTGCTCTTCTTGAGAAAGCAGGTGGTGGAGGGGGATTCAGAAGCAGGAGAGAGTGGGGAAGGCTCAGAGGAGTAGCCCAGGCACCCCTTCCCATGAACCGCCCGCCACTGAAAACCCTTCCCCCGCCATCTCTAGGGACAAATGCACCGACCTTTAGTGTGAGAGGGTCGTCTGGGGGACCCCACTCTCCACTCTCAGAGGGAGGAGGGCAGGGGAGGGGACCGGGAGAGGAGACAGCCAAGAAGAGGGAGAGAAGAGAGAGGAGGTAGGGCAGACACAGGTTGTCTGCAAGAGGGCAGGAGAGAGGATGAGCTGAGGAGGAGGGAGAAAGGATGGGGGACAGGGGAGGGGTGATGGAGCAGTTGGGGGAAATGGAGCCAGAACAAAGAGAGATAAAGGGCGTCAGAGGGGCGGATGTGAGTTTGGAGAGCAGAGATGCTTCCAGAACCTTCCCTCCCCATCTCCAACCAGAGCAAAGAAGGGGAAGGCAAGCCCAAGGAGCACCCCTGATTTCTGCCACTGAGCCCCTCCCCTCCCCAAAGGACTCCTGAGCCCTCACCCTGGAAGGTCACAGGCTGCACGGAGAGCACGAAGGGGTCATAGTAGCTGTGAAGGCCCTTCTTCCAGACCACCGCCATGATGGCGCCTGACGCTAGGACCTCCACCACGGGCTCCTGGCGACTGCAGCCATAGACCCTGGTGGGACAGAGAAAGGCGACGAGGAGGGGCGGGGCCTGGGAAGGATATCCAGGGGTGCTGTGGGCTGCCCAGAGGAACAGATGAGGAGGGACTGGGAGCCTGTACATCTGAGTCTACGGCCAGGCTACTGTGTGTCCTCAGGCAGGTGTCTGACCCTCTCTGGCCAGGGGGCTGACCAGAGGCCCTATAAGGGTCAGGCCAGCTCCTCAGGGGAGAGACGACAAGGGGTTTCCCAGACTTCTGGAGCTTACAATTCCACTGTGACTGCTGACTCCTGTCCCACAGCACCCCTCCAGCCCCCTCAGAATCCCCGTGACCCCTGAGTGCCCAGACTATGCCCTGCAAGGAGACCAGACTGGCACCTATGGGGGCCATGCCCTCCAGATGACCATACCTAACTCCTGGCTCTCCTGGCTGGAACAGAGAGAAGACAGGTGTACAGTCTGGTGGTCCCCTGGGTGCCCCAAGACTCTACCCAGAGCTTGGCTCGGGGGAGGCGCAGGAGAAATAACCATATCTTAGAATTCTAGACTCAGAGGAATGTCAACCATGATAAAGTTCTTCAGGGACTGTCAAGGTTAACTGCTTGGTTACCAGGTGGGGTAACTGAGGCTCATGAAGCTGCCAAGGCCCCACTCTGGGTCCACAGCACAGACGGACCCATGCTGGGCACTGCCTGTGATAGCGGCTGGCACTCCCGCTATCTGTGACCCCGTTCAACCCATTTCAGGGTAGGATGCTCCTGGTTTCCCCCTCCCTCACTCTTGGCCAACCTCTGCCAAACTTCCTCTTGATTCAGAATTCTCTGGAGCCGTGCTCATCAGTAGACCAATTCCTAGGAAGCTAGTAACCCTGCCTCCCCTGGAGGGGGTGCGCCGGCATCCACCAGGGAGGTACTGCCTACCCGCCCTGTGCCAGCTCTGAACTTGACCCGTTTGAGTGGACAGCAATGGGGGGGACTGCAGGCACCCAGGCAAATGTGAGAAACCTAAGCACAGACTCAGAAGCACCATCCACACCAGCCCTGGGAACCCTGCAACTGACGAGGGAAGAGTGAACAATCCCAGAAATTTCCCCAGGAAAGTCTTGGTGCCCCAGGGTCCTGGAAGGGTCCTTTGCCCTGGCCTCAGCTCGCCCAGGAGGTGCTCACCCCTCCCTGGTCCTCCTGCTTTGACCATCGCCAGCTTGTTCTCACTGCTGGGGGCCCCCCACCCTCCTATACCACGCCCTCCCTGCCTCCACTACTCCTCTCCTTCAGGAGGTGGGAGATAAGATATAAGAGGTCGCCTTTAATCCTCACTTGTAATATTGGGGATTTCTTTTCTTTTATTTACTTAAGCAGCTGAGCCTTTGTTGTAACTAAAACGAGGTGAAGGTTGATGGAGACCCCACCAGCTCCCCCTACCACCCTATGCCTCTTGCTCTGTGTTCCCATCACCACTAAAGTACCCCTATCATGGTACGAGGTGGAAGTCTGAGGACCCCCCAGTCCTGTCTGATCCATCATTTTACACCTTCTCTGAGGGCTTGAGATGGCAGTCAGATGTCCTCTCCAGCAGCAGGCTGAAGGGGGCACTTGGAGAAGCCCCAGGAAAAGCCCTGAAGTGTCCCCACCCTCATCAGGCCTGGAAATCAGCTGGTGTCTGGCTTCTCTGCTTCCCAGAGCCCTCCAGGAACCCAGCCTACGCACACCCCAGACTGCGGTCAGCACATGGCAGTGGGTGGGGCCGCAGATGAGAAGGCAGCCTCAGAGCCTGGAGAATCAGAGAGGCCCTGGGGGAGGGGGCTGGGGAGAACTCACTCAGCTCACCCTGCAGGACTGCCCTGAACCTGAACATGCAGGTCGTACCCCCATCGGGCTTGGAAGCTGGTGTCCAAGCAGGACAGAGGAGGCAGCAGCCCGGTGCCCCAGGGTCTCCCCCAACCTCCTGTAGTCCCCTGCCCAACCCCCACCCCCACCCTGTGGGGAGGTGATCAGGCTCCTGGAGGCCAATGCCACTTCCAGCCCCTTCGTGGTTTCCCCATGGCCCACTACTTGCCTGTTTTCTGCATTCCACATCTTATCCTAAAGTTCTTCTCTTCTGCTCAAGAACTTTCCATTAGTTCCCCACTTACCAAGTATTAAAGATCAAATTATCCCTTGCATTCCATGCCCTTTGTGACCTAGCCCCAGCTAAACTGTATATAATGATAAGTAATAATGGCTAGCAGCTGCTGGAGGTTTAATGGATACATCAAATGTAAGGTAATAATGGACAGCATTACTGCATGTAAAGATCTTGGCCCAGAATCTGATTGAAATCCTCTCAATAACCCTGCAAGCTAGGAATGGCTGTGCACCCATTTTACAGGTGAGCAAACTGAGGTTCAGAAAGGCAAAGTAACTTGCCTTAAGGCACACAGCTAGGAAGTAGTAGTGTAGGGTTAGAAGTTGGGGACTGCCAGCCTTCAGAGTATTCTTACAAGATCATGTCACCTCCCAGAGCTGAGCTTAGAGTTCGCCTAGTACAATTGCTTTGTTACAGATGGGGAAACAGGCTGGCAGAGGGGAAGGGGGTTGCCCAAAGTACACAAGCACTTCCACTCTTCTCTTGCCATCTCCCTCTGGCCTCACTGTCGCCCAGATGCCAAATACAGGGCCCAGGGTCACCCAGCCCCTTGTCTCAGAGCACTGGGTGTGGCTTTGACCTCACACCATCACCCCCTTCCCAACCTCCCACCCACCACCTTCCCAGGGACTCACGAGGTGATAAGCCTCCTCTCAAGAGGCCCCGCCACGTCATACATGGCCAGCCGGTCCCGGCAGTCAGCCAGCTTCCACTCGAGCCGGAGCTTGAGCATGAGATCCTGGGGGCCCTGAAGGTGCCACAGGCAGCTGGAGGCCAGGGTATCGGGCCCCTTCAGCCGGAGGACCTGGCCCTGGCCCACGTAGCTGTAGCGGTAGCAGCCTGGAGTGGGGAGACGGACAGGCCCCCTGACCCCTGTTAGCTGAGAGGAGAGACCCGGTGTGGGGCGGGGGCAGCCCCACCAGGTCCTCATCCAGGGGGTGGGGTAGGGAGAGCAGCTGGATGGGGGTCAGCCCAGAGGCCCTCTGTCCTAAGTTCCTGTTTCCCCAGTGCTTTCATCTCCAGCCTCCTCATCCACATATTCGTTCTTTGGTTCATTCATTCATTCCCTTCATGCTTATTGAGCTCACCAAACCAGGCGAATGCTAGAGAAAGTTTCAGTCAACTGCCCGGGAGTAACGAGAACAGCAGGGAAATATACAGACACTGGGGGGAATATCTCGGAAGTGAGGGCTCTCAGGGAAGTCCGGTGCGGGGTGGGGGGGGGGGCGGGGGGGGTGGGTGGCGTCACAGAGTGAGCAAAGGTCTGCAGGCTAGGGTAGGCAGGGGACTTGGAGGCAGGAGGGCAAGCTGGAGGAGGGAGGCAGGGCCCCCCTTGTACCCAAGGGAGAAGCCTTTTCGTCCTGCGGCCATGAGAACCATGGAAGGTTAGGTAAGGCTGGGACATGATCGGACTTGGGTCACAGACTCCTCCGGCTGCTGAGAGCAATGTCAAGGAAACCAGGAGACCAGCAGGATGGCCCAGCAATAAGGGGAGCGGGCTCAGGGCTGCATTTCGGGTGGAGAGAAAGGAGTGTGTTCCAGTGGGGCTGGGAGGCAGCAAGGTAGAGGAAGTCAGCTCAAGCTAGTGATCATCAAACAGCAGGAATGAAACAGATAGCACTTAGCAAGCATTTTGATACATGCCCAGAAGTGAACCAAGGGCCATACACTCACCATCTCATTCAATAGCTCCATGAAATAGTTTCTATTATTGTCCCCATTTTACAGACCTGGGCCAGGCAGATCTAGGTTCACCTAATCTCCACCTGATCTTTCTTGGGCCTCAGTTTTTTCCTCTGTAGAATGGAGGCAGGGACGATCCTTGCTAGACTGTCACAAAGCTTAAGGAGGGTGCATGTCTGAACACTCAGCCCTGTTCATGCACGCGTGCTCAGTCGCTTCAGTCGTGTCCGACTCTTTGCGACCCCATGGACTGTAGTCCACCAGGCTCCTCTGTCCAAGGAATTCTCTAGGCAAAAATACTGGAGTGGGTTACCATCTCCGTCTCCAGAGAATCTTCCTGACCCAGGGATCGAACCCGGGTCTTCTGCATTGCAGGCACATTCTTTACCACTGAGTCACCTGGGAAGCCTTGCACATAGCAGGTGCTCAATACATGTAGTGACCGTTCTTCTTTAGGTAGGTGTGGGGGAAAGGGAGAAGGTGGAGCTGGGAAGAAACTTCTATGACTTCTCACCTTCAGTCAGTTACACTTGAGGCTCGGATGTAACCTGTCCCACTGGTTGCCCTCGCTCCACACCTCCTTCTCCATCACACCTGTCTGCATCCACACCCCCACTGTGCTTCCTTCCTCTCTAGCAGTTCTCCATGAGCTTTGAATGCAGTGCTAGACCTTGCATAGAGGTATCAGCTATACCATTCATTCACTCATCATAGTTGTTGAGCACCTACAATGTGCTTGACTTAGGCTCCAAGGACCAGGAGTGAACCTGGGCCATAAGTATGTCATTTAAACCTCACCTTGAGCTTTGAAGAAGGGATGATGCATGCTCTGCCAGGAAGCAGAAGGGATGTGGGAGTGAGCCCCGGATGTGAGAGGCAGCCTGGTGTGCAGGGAGTTACCCTCTGTGTGATTGTCCTGGCACCACCTCCCGTCTGCTGTGTGACTCTGTATCAGTTGTTCAGCCACTCTGAGTTCTGTCAAACGGACATAATGCTAATCCCTGTCCCACCTCCTTCTTTGCGTGGTTCTGAAGACCAGGAAGGGTACCGAGGTGAAGGAACAGGCTTTGCTCTGACTGCTGCCACTTGCTCAGCTCCCTCATCCTGACCCCTGGCCATCCTGACCCCAGCTGTGGAGCTGATCTCTCCAGGGAGAAACCTCTGACATTGCCAAGGGGAAGGGAGAGGGAGCCTGGAAGAGGTTCCCGGCTGTTCCCAGGCATCTGTATTCTTTCAATCTTGCTCCAAGCTGATGCATGCTTTTGCCGCTTTAATAATTACTTTTTTGTATGAAGCTGATTCAGGGGAGTTCTGGTCTCTGTTGATCATCAGAAACACCTTTAGGGAGCCTGGGAGAAAGTAAATGAAGCTCTGTCTGTTCCCCTCGCTGCCCTTTTCTCATGCTCCTCCCTTTACCCAGAGTGTCCTTTCCCGACTGGATCTGACAGATTCCTACCTATCCTCCAATCCTGAGCCTCCCTCCTCCAGGAAGCCTTCCAGGACCTCTCTAGTTAGGAGCACTCCTTCCTCCCTCTAGAAACACAGCCCTTCCTCTGCTTTGGATCACAGCCCCGGGGGTCCACCTCTGTCCCAGGGCAGAATGGCTCCCTTTCTGCACTGCCCCCGGGACCTCTATTCTTGCCCTGGCACTTGGTGTTGTGAGATTCTGTTTATGTGTTTGTCTCCCTCGTGGGGGCCCGGAGCTCCTCTGAGGGCAGGGGTGAGGACACGGTCAGCTGGTGTCTCCAGGGCCAGCATGGGGCCTGGCAGGGAGAAAGTGCCCCCAAAGCCTACTTAGAGGACTTGAATTGTCATCCTTGCCCCATGAGACGCTGTGCTCTGGGAGGGCAGGGGCTCTAGACGTGTACTGAACCAAATAAAGATAATTATAAAGCAACTGCCAGAAACCTGGGGACATGTGAACACTCAGCACAGGCAAATGCAATGGAAAGGCCTGTCTGAGACCAAGGATCAGGGTACTGTGTGCACCAATGTGGTGTTAGATGGTGCATATCAATAAATATAGACAGATTAATTCCTTGTGCTCTCCTTTAGACATGAGGGAAAACCCTACTGCTTCCCTCATCAGTGAGTTAAACAAATCTTTGATATGTGCTCATATCTTTGTATGAAAATCATGATTTTAAGTATTTGAAAACTGTTCTTTGACCCCATCGCCTCCATCTACCAAGGAAATAAGCCTTTGACTAGCCACGTGGGAGAACAGGAAGGTCAGAGAAGGATTTCAACTCTGCCTCCCTAAGTAGAAGAAGAATCTGGGAATTAAGGGGCTCTTGCTCAGAGCCACAGGGTACAGTAGCCCAGGTGGTGCACTGCCCATTTCCGGAAGTCAGTAGTCACACAGCCTAAGATGTGGACAGCATTCCTTGGTGGCTCTGCTGGTGCTTTGATTCCCAGGGCTCAGTAGGAAGACTGCAGCCTCTTGGCTCCAGCACAAGGTGACTCTAGCAATAGGGCATGGGATGGGGTGGGAGGAGAAGACAGATGAGCCCGACTGCCTGAGAAAGGGAAGGAAAAGATGGAGGGAGTATCCTTACCTGTGACAGAAAGAGCTCCAAGACCAAGTTTCAAAGCCAAAGTGACTGATATACCTCAAATCGACAAGATTATTTTCTACCATCAGTGGAAACATAAGATTTCAAAACAGAAGAAATGGAATTCCATGAGAGAAAAGCAGGATCACATTGATGTGCAAATAAATCTGCTACTCACTCACACCCCACACATGAAACACACATGCTTTTGTGCAAATACACACTTTGTTCACATGTGCACAACACCTCCTCCCCCCAGAGGCCCCCAGCCCTGCTCAGGACCTGTCACTGAGTCTATTATCGTGCCCCTTGGGTGACCCCAGACCAGTGCCCCTTGCCCCCAGAGAAGCCGTGTGGATCCCTGACACTCAGCCAAACCGAGAAAAATACCAACTCAAAAGGAAAGTGGGAAGGAAAAACCAAAGTGGCGTACCCAGCGTGGAATTCAGTGCAACTATGTCTTTCACGCTGGCTTCTGTTAAAGGAAATGAACAAACAAATGAACAGAGAGAATAAATAAACGAAATGAAAATAAAAATAGAAGAGGTTATCAGAGCCTGTCTGAGATTGACCCTGATTGCCCTCCGTCCCCCATGACCCACCCCTCAGTCCTGGCTCCTGACCATTGGGGTTGGGGGGTGGGAGGGGCCATCCCGAGAGCATCCCATCCCTGGAGGCAGGCTTGCTGGGCCTCGCCAGACCGTCCCATGTTCCTCATCTCCAGTACTGACCCAGGATCACCAGACCCTCGGGGTCCACCTCGTACTCGGTCCGGTAGGGAGCGGGGACCGAACTGTTGGCCGCGGACAGCAGCTCCTCCGCCAGCAGGGCCCGCACCACGTCGGGGCTCAGCATTGGCCGGCGGTGCTCCGGGATTTGGAGGATGAACCAGAAGAAGCAGGTGAATGGTCCCTCCCTGGGGCAGGCGGAAGTGAGAGGGGCTAGGGGAGGAGCCTGGAGTGTGGGCCCCACCCAGCCCCCTGCTCCTGGTGGGAGTTAGAGGGGGATGGCACCTGTGGCTCATGTGATGGGCATGGAGCCAGGCATCCCTCTTCATCTTCACGTGGAAACCTAACACCCTCTGAGGGAGGAGCTTTGGAGAGGCCCACCCATTTCACAGATGAGGAAACTGAGGCATGAGAGGTTAGGTTATATGCCACAGACTATGTTATAAGTGAATGGGACAACTGCACTCCCCACCCCTAACTACTTCTCCGTGGTCTCATCTGATACCTGTCAGACCCTTGATAAAGACACACCACAGTCACTGTCTAGTATAATCCTTGCCACACCATTGTTTCCATTCTACCGATGAGAAAACCAAGTTCAGTGAAGGGAGGTCACATGCAGGAATCCAAGTTTCCTCTCTGTGTCTCAGTTTCCCCATTTTAAAACATAAAGATGTTGCATCAGAAGTCTACAGCATCCCCTCCCATTCTTCAAGTCAAAGGCTCTAGCAAAGGCTGATGAGGGTGGGGGGTGCGCAAGAAGACTCACCCAAAGGAGTAGACGGCACTGGAGTTGTAGTAAGTACCTAGGCGGGTGCTGGCAATGAGCTCCTTGAGCTACAAGGAGGGAAAACAATCAGAGTCCCCTCATGACGCTATGCAGAAACCCTCTCCTACCCTGGGATACACTTTGACCCTCCCACAGCCCTCCTTGACTGAGGAATCTATAGGATAGAGAGGCTTGCCCATGGTCACACGGCAGGTAATGGCCACGACAGGGAAGAAACCTCATTCAGTCTTTATTTCCCTCCCCCTGCACACAGGCGGGCTTCCCTGGTGGCTCAGAGGTAAAGAATCTGCCTGCCCCTTCCACTAGCTCTGAACTTGACCAAACTACCAGTGGCTTCTCCCCCTCCGTCAAATCACTCCTTGACTCTGAGAATCTCCCCCTGGGCTTCTGAGTCCCCTCCTTAGGCCCAACCACCAGCCACAGGGGCTCAGACAGTTGGTCTTTGCACATGTTCAATGGCAGTGCTGCTGCGGGGTGGAATGCAGGATCGTGGGTTCTTAAAGAACTCTGAATGGCACAGAGCTAACATCCACATGCTCTCATTTTAACCCCATGACAGCCCTGCAGACAGGCACTGTTGTTATCTCTCCACTCTGTAGAAAAGGAAAGAGAGTCTTGGGTGGGTCTCCCCAAAGAAGGTCCTGAGGCAAGTGGTTTATTTGCAGGTGGTTCCAAGACACACTAATGGGGAAGGAGACAGGCAGGAAGGCAGCCAACAAGGCTGTGAAGGTTCTGGGCAGAGCTGTGGGTGGCTGAGGAGCAGATCCAGCAGGGATCTCTGAGAGACTGTGGTGGAGGTGGTGGTTTAGTCATTGAGTCATGTCTGACTCTTACGACTCCATGGACTGGGAACCTACCAGGCTCCTCTGTCCATGGAATTCTCCAGGCAAGAATACTGGAGTGGGTTGCCATTTCCTTCTCCAGGGGATCTTCCCGACCCAGGGATTGAACCCGGGTCTCCTGCATTGCCGAGACCAACTGAGCTTTGAGGGAAGCCTGAGAGACTATGGGGGCATCTTCAGAACTGCTCTCACCAAGAGCTGAGGGCTCCACTTTCTCTGTCTCTTGTGCCTGAGGGTTGCTGCTGGGAATTACTCCTCAGCACTTCCAGCCCACCCTGCTGGACAGGGTGCTGGCTGCGAGGGAGACCATCCCCAGTGCAGTAAGCCATTGCTAGGAGGAGAAGGGGTGTGGGTGGGTCCTGGCAGCATCCTTATGCTGCCCTAATTTTCAAAGGTCATGCTTCTACTAAGTGGCAAAATCAGGATTTAATCCAAGTGCAATTTGACCCCAGAGTCCACAAGCTTTCCCAACCAGTCTCCACCGTCTCCCTTCCGTAGTGCCTAGAGCAGGACTCTGATCCTAATGACTGTTCTAAATGGTTTCACCCACTGGCTGGACATGATCAGGCCCCTCCCCTCTCCCTTCTCGTCCCCACCATCCTTCCTACCATCTTCTGAGCTTTGGCAGTTTCACTGCGGAAGGCACTGGACTCCCGGCGGGCAAGGTCCTGGGAGAAGTGGCGATTGAGCACACGGAGGCTGCCTGAGTACACCTGGCTGACCGTCACCTCTGCCTTGTACCCTGCCCAGGAAGAAACCAGCAAAGGTTAACCAAGGGAGTAGATGGGGATGGTTCCTGTGTGCCCTACTCCTTCTCCTGCCACCCTGAACCCTCAGCACAGCCTCCAGCATCCTGGGCCTCCAAGGCACCATCATCACTACCATCATTTTTGTCGTTGTCATTCAGAGTTTGTGTAGTAACAAATTGGCCCCACGGAACCAGGGAGGACAGAGGCCCACAGGTGGGTGGTGTCCCAGGGGCTCCCAGGCAGAAGTTGACCCAGTGATCAGTCCAGGACATGGATACCAAGAAACCCACATGGGCCCAGAAGGTCAAGTTCTTGATTTAGCACCTCTGTGTTGTCCAGGCTGCACCTACTATGAAGGGTACACTAGTAAACCAAGACAGACAGGTGTCCCCACACGGACCTGACAGTGATGGGTAAGATAGACTTTCCCCCAGTAGCCATACAGCCTGTGGGATTCATCTGCCAGGGTGTCTTAAAGGAGAAGCACAAGGTGCTATTGAGGTGACATGGAAAGCCCTAGGCCAGGGTGACACTCCATCTGAGACAGGAGGAATGGAGACTAAATTAAAAAGAGGGGAAGCAGGGGGATATCTTCAGGGCAGAAGGAATAGCATGTGCAAAATCTCCACAATGGGGCTGTTTGGCTGGAGCAATCAGACCAGGGTAATAAGAGGCTGAGACATCAACAGGGCGGGATTTTGGTCTTTCCCTGATGAACAAGGGAAACCATGAAAGGTTTAAAATCAGGGATGATGTCATCAGATTTCCGTTTTACAAAGATCATTTTGACTGATGTGAAGACAACAGATTCACAGCCCGGACTTTCTTCTATCCTTATTCAGTCATTTGTTCATTAATTCAACACATATTTATTGAGAACCTGCTATGTTTAGGGACTGGCCTAGAATACATGGGAATATACTGGTAGAACAGTGAACAAATAACAAAAACAAAACCAAACCTGTCCTTAACAACTCGTAGTCTAACAAGAAAGACAATAAACAGCGAACACAGGACATAACATGTTAGAGGTGTCAAGTGGTGTGGAAATCAAGGGTTGCTGCAACATGGAGGCCAGAAAGGAGGAAAGTGGTGTTGGCCAAGTGGATGTTAACCTACGGAAAGAGTATTCCAGGCAGCATACTGGCAAGTGCAAAGGCCCTGAGGCAGGAGCTTGTCTGCTGTGTTTGAGGAACAGCAAAGATTTGAGCAAGGGGAAAGCAGAAGGAGATAAGATGGTGGGGGAAGGGTCACATAGGACCTTGCAACCTGGGGACGACTTTGATTTTTGCTCTGAGTGAGATGGGAGCCATGGGAGGCTTTAAGCAAAGAAGTCTGATGATTTGATTCGCTTTACAAAACAATCCTTCTGCCTTTGTGTTGCAAACAGGCTGTTAAGCAGGCCAGGGCAGAAGCATGGGGACCTACAGGAGGCTCCTGCAGCTGTCCCAGTGTGAGTGGTCCAGGGGAGCCTGATCAGGCTGCGCAGGGAAGAGAGAAGTGATTGGAGTCAGGGTATATTTTGGGTTTGCTGGCTGGCAAATGGGGGCTGGGCAGTAAAAAAAGGGGAGTAAGGGGAAACATGGGAAGGATAAAATGACCACCACCTGGGGTGTTTTCTCCATTTTTCTTGATTTTAAAGGATTTTCTTGGGTCACGATTTTCTATTTTATTTTTTGGCACGCTGCAAGTTATGCAGAATTTCCCTGACCAGGGATTGAACCAAAACCTTCTGCAGTGGAAACAGTCGTAACCACAGGACCACCAGCAAAGTCCAGATCACTAATGATGATACGATAAAGTTACAATCATTTCTCAAAATCTCAAACTTCTGAAAAACTTGTCTATAAAGACACATTGCCTCAGAGATATGAAAATCAATAGTTCAATATCATTTTATGTTAACAACTGGTACTAATCAATTAAAAAGTTAAAGCCCCCTTCAAAATATACTCCAAAGGCAGACTGACAATTTATAAAAGTTAACTCTCAGTGAGGTCTGAAATATCCTTAGACATCCTGGAGCAGGAGCAGCGCCCCCCCCACCCCCCCCACCCCCCTCCCCGACCCCCACCCTCCCGGCGCACATTGGAGCTCAAGGGCTGGAAATGCAAATTTGGGAATCATCAGGGGGTAAGGGCATAAATGGAGGCAGAGGGGAGGAAAGTCCTGCCAACAGCAAAGACACAGAGGAGAAGCCATCACGAGCTGAGGACAAAGAAAGTGTGGGTGCCTCGGAAGCCAAGTGAGGAAAGTGTTTCGAGGAGGAGGGGATGAGGTACCCAGTCAAGTGCTGCCTGCAGGTCAAATGCCATGAGGACTGGCCACCAGATTCAGCAGTGACCGTGACAAGTACTCTTGGGGTTATGGGGGGTGGGGGGCGGGGAGTCAGATTGGAAAGGGTACCAGACAGAGGTGTGGAACTGGAGGGCACAGTGTTTTGAAACACCAGGAGTTTGCTACAAAAGGAATCTGAGAAATGGCTGGCGGGGGTGGGGAGACCAGAGGGACAGAATACAGAAGCGAAGAGAAGCACTGTCCACTGATGGATGGGGCCCCCAGAGGAGAGAGGGGCCATGGCTGGAGCCGGGCCACTGCATGGGCAGGCTGGGAGGACAGCAGGCTTTACAAGGCTTTTTGTCTGTCTGGTTGGTTTGTTCCCCACCCCCTGACGCACCACACAGCATGTGGGATCTGGTTCTCTGACCAGGAATCGAACCTGCGCCCTCTGCATGGGGAGCCCAGAGTTTAACCACAGAACTATCAGGGATGTCCCACATCTGGCTTTAGATAAGGCAGGGCTGGTTCACCCATGCGGTTGGTGGTGGGCAGAGCACATGGGTACAGCTGGGAGAGCATCTATGGGGCCTCTCTTCTGAGTGGTTCCATTTTCTTGTTGAAGCAGGAGGCAGAGTGGGTGGGGGATATGGGAGAGTTTGAGAAGAAAGCATAAAACTGTGGCCCAGGAGAGCAGGAGAGGGAAAGGACTAGGGCAATACAGCTGAGCAGCGTGAAGGGCCTCGCTACCCGGATCTGAGTGGGCCAGCCTAGGGCCCACTGGGCTGGGGAAGCTGGCCCTCACCCTATCCTCTCCTGGGCCACTGGGTCAGGCTGCCACTTATCCAGACGTTTGCGTCTCACTTCAGGCTTATCCTGATCCAGTGTAATAGGCCTCTTGTCCATCTCTCCTTCCAGACCAGACAGGGCATGTCTGTGGCCCATGCCCTCCCCAGTGCCCAATATCCAGAGCACCACCTGGCCCAGGATGGGAGAAACTATTCAAACATCTCCTAAAGTGCTCGTCTACCTGCATCCCTCTGGGGAGAGGGTTGCCTTCCCCCAGCTGGAAGGAGCTCTCACCACCTGGGTCCTCAGCCCCATGGAGCATCCTCTACCCCCATTGGGGTGATTCACTCCAGAAGTCTAACCAGGAGAAATCAGACGCTGTGAAGACAATTGCCAGGTGAGTTCCTGCCCTCCCCCCCCACCCCGTCCCACCGCCCCAGCTTGGTGCTCTGCAGTTTCCCCTAAAGACTAATTATCCTGCAGCCTAAGGAGGCCTTGGCAGCCCTGTGCTATTTGGGATGCTGGCTTCCTGCTGGTGGTGAAATGCACACAGCTTCCACTCTTAGCCCGCGTTACTCGGTTCTAAGCAGAATCACAATCCACCCAGCATGATGGCAAGTGGGTGAGCGTTAGACCCAGGCTTCCTAACAGCTTTGGCCCAGGGGCTGGTTCTAGAACACCCCTACCTCAACTCCCTTTGGAGTCGGGCGTAGGCTGCTCTCCCCAATGGCTGCTCCAAAGTGGGTCCCCATTCCTTTCAATGGACCTGAAATTCCACCAGGAGATGCAGTCGGTAAGAAAATGGTCTAACTTTTGCATAGTGCGTAATGGGAGGTCTCTGATCTCTTGGGCAAGGTGGGCTGTCCCTGCTAGGGTTCTGTTGGGTCCCCTCAGCTTGTTCTGTCCTAACACATGGCAGACTTTATGCTGAGGGCAGGGACTGTCTCCAGAACCTGCACAGAGCTGATGTATATAGGAGGTGGTCAGTACTGAATGAATAAAGGATGGACGAATGGACCCAGAATAGAGGCTAGTTGATCCTGGGGCCCCAACAGACTGATTGAGAGCTGTGATACCAGAGATGGAGGGCCTAAATTCAGGACATGGGGAGACGCACCTGCTCTGGACATTCTTGCCCCCATTTCCCTCTGGGTTGAATTCCAGGTGTCTTCAGGCTGGGGTATAAAGCCATCGGCATGCATGGACACTGCCCTGGACACCTGAGTCCTGGGTGCCCCTCCCCTTAATCCCAACTCTTGCTGGGTCCTGGAGACTCAGAGATGGTAGAGCCAAGGTCCCCCCGCCCAGAAGAGCTGCTAGATTGGACTCAAGTGAGCAGAAACACTAATTGGTGTCAGGCACCACTAGCACCGCTGGGCCTCCTCCAACTGAGCCAGCTGGCTCCAAGCCCAGGGGCAACCCAGGAGGGCTGCAGGTAAGGGGAGGCAATGCTTACACTCCTATAGCTTGTCAGTTTACAAGAACTGGAAGAGAGCTTCTTCCTTAGCTGCTGGGAGTTAGGGGCACTTGGCCCCAGAAAGGATCTTGCACTATCATCTTATAAGACAGGAAGGGAGACTCCAAGAGAAGTGCATATCCAAGGGCACACAGTGAGTTTCCAGGTGTTGCTGAGCCTGGAATCCTGGTCTGTCCTGTTGTGCCCCTTCAACCACCCTAAGTTCTCTCCAGGTGCCTCTCCCAGGGGCCCATGTGGTTACCTAGGAAATACCAGAGCAGGACCCCCACTGAAACCAACGCGACCAGAGCCAGCCACAGGGGAGCCAGGCGGAGGTAGCCTCGGACTTTTCTCTTCATGTCCTTGGGGTCCTTGAACATCCCTTCCGGCTCTGCCTCTTCACCATCACCTCCATCGCCCTGCCCGCCAGCCGCTTTGGGGGCCTTGGCCGTGGGCATCCTGGCAAGGAAACAGACCAGGGTTGGACACAGCCTGGCATTTGCAAGGGAGCCTTTGCTGAATGCTAGCCTTGCAGAGAAGTAAGACAGCACCTCTGCCTTTTGGAGGAGCAGGATCATAATGCCAGGTACCAGTAACTGAAAGTGGGCCCTGAGCCAGCTCCCAAAGGAGGGAAGCACGCCTCAGAGTAGCTCACCCCAGGTGGCCAGCTGGAACCCCTACCTTTGCATCTGGCATCAGGGGAGAGAAAGACATTTCACTACTTAAACCCCACCCCCAAGGCTGTACCCTCAGATGAAACTGGGATGCATAAATGGCATAAATGTTTCTATAAAGCAATTCCTCCTGCTCTTGGGATTTCCCAGCCTTGGCTTCTCTTCTATTAAGGGGATGCTTTTTCCTTGCTCCTGGTTCTCAACAGCAAAGCTTTCCACAACATCTATGCAGTTCATTTACTTGGCCCTTCCTGCCTAGAAGTCCTGAGTCAGCTCTGTGTCAAGCCAGGGACTGCCCTCCAAGGAGCAGCACCCTTCTTGTGCCCCCACTGTCCAAAGTATCTTCGGGGTGGAGGAAGGAGATAAAAACTAATATTAAAAAACCCCTAATATTCATGTAGTGTCTGCACAAGACAGTTCGTAGATATCACTCCCTTTAATCCTCTGGTCTCTGGGATGTGAGGACCATTGTCCCCATGCATTCCTCTTCCTCAGGTCCTCTCTCTGTAGACACTCTACTTGTATTTTCTTGCTTAACCTCCAAATGCCTTTCAAGGTTCTGCACCCATTGAACAGAGGAGGAGACTGAGACCCAGAATGTTTTAGCAACAACTCAGTCCAGGGATTTCCTAGCCTCATTTTTATCAATGCAATATGAATGTCTGATGTTGGCAACCAGCCCCATTTTGAAGATGGAAAAACTGAAGCCCAGGGTGGCTAAGCCATTCACCAAAGGTTACGTAGCAGATAAGTGGGGGTCAAGCCCTGATGTCTGACTTCCTGATCTTTCCGCTACTCTGGGCCACTTCCTGGAAATGAGGTGTTAAATAACAAATCATGATGAAGTAATACCTGAATGTCACCCCTCTGTGCCCCAGGCCTGCAGCTGTCTCTCCTTCTAAACCCTCCAGGAAACCGCTGAGAGCTATTTGGCTTCTTGGGCAGGTTTTCCACAGTCCAGAGAGGGCCTTTCACTCACCCGCCCACCAGCAGAGCAAGGATCCCACACCTCTGAGAAATTAGCCTCTTCTTCCCACAACCCAAAGGCCATTGCACCTTTAAAATACATCCCCAGGTGTGTGTGTGTGTGTGGCGGAGGAGTCCTTTGGGTTGTGTCTTGGGTTTTCACACAAAGGGTTTCTGAAAACAGGGTTCATTTGTGATGCTTGAAGTTTCTCAGTCAAAGATGTCTGGCTCCAGGCACATGGATCTCTTAACTGGCCTCCATGGATGCAAGGAAAGGAGGCGACTGTTGGTCATTCTCAACTGGGTGCAGGACTCCCCTCCACCAGAGGACTTCTTACACACAGGGCAGGCCCTGCTGGTTTTCATGGGGCCAGGACCATGGATGGTAAAGATCCCGCAATGAGTGGACAGCCCTGCCCACGCTCAGAGTGTCCAAGGCACCCCAGGTGAAAGTGGCTGCCCCCATGAGCTGAGTGGAGTGACCAGAGCCAGGAAAGCCCTGTGATGGGCTAGTTCCTTCCCTCTCTAGGCCTTAAGTCCACTCCCTCTGCCAGAGAGCCACATCTCTATTTTACTGAGTCTGGATCACCAAGGACCTACTGGGGACTCGGAGAGCACAGAGGTGACCACGACTGACATTTATTTGAATTGTTTTTTCCAGTGTCTTAGTGATTTTCCTGGTGGCTCAAAAGATAAAGAATCCATCTGCCAGTGCAGGAGAGGCAGGTTTGATCCCTGGATTGGGAAGATGCCCTGGAGAAGGAAATGGCATCCCACTTCTTGCCTGGAAAATTCCATGAATAGAGGAACCTGGTGGGCTACAGTCCATGGGGTTGCAAAGAGTCAGACATGACTGAGTGACTAACACTTTCACTTTCCAGTGTTTTATAAGCACTGTCTCGTGTAAGCCTTCTGCGGACTCTTGGGGGATAGGGTCTGTTATTATCCATCCCCGTTTTACAGATGAGAAAGTTGAGGCACAGAGAGATTGAGGAACTTGACTGAGATCCTGCAGTTGGTCAACAGCAGAGTCAGGCTGCAAACCCATGCTATTTGTCTCCAGGATAATGCCCTCACCACCATGCTTTACTGCCTCACACATCATCAGGGTACAAGGGGAAAGTGAGGCTCAGAGAAGGTCATAGATCTGATACAGGAGGCCCAGAGGGGAGTAGTCCCAGACAGGCGCCCCCTTCCTCCCCCCATACCCCAAACACTGCCTTTACTCCCTGGCTTTTGCCTCCCTCATTAATGACACTCACATTCATCTGGGGGAACTCTGAGTATCACAGAAAATCCCCTGTGTGAGACCCAAGGTCTGACACAGCCCAAATTGGTGGGACAGATGAGGAACACACCTGGGCTCCCCATCACCTCCTACCTGGACTCCCGGGGCAGTCTCCTAATGCCCCCTCTGCCTCCCATCTCTGCCTCCAACACCTTTTCCATGTTGTCAGCAGAGAGCTCTCCCTGCCCACCTCCAACCATTCACCTGCTCAGAGTCCTCTCAAGGCCCCCAGCCACCTTCAGACCCCTAGCTGAGGCACCCAAGACCCTCATGGACAGGCTGCTGCCTTCACCCCCATGGCCCTACTTTCATCACACACATCACCCTGCCAGTTTACAAGGTGTGCCTTTGTACAGCCACAACCTCTGCCTGAAGGACGATGGGACTCCTCAATGCCAGCTCCAAGGTCACCTGCCCAGCGATGGGGCCCAGGACCTTGGAGAGTAAGCCACTCCCTCCCCTAGGCAGCCCTTGGTCAAGATCAGCAGTCTGCCTGGCTTTTGGCTTTGTTTCCTCTTCTCTACAAGAAAGGCAAGTCTGTGTCTTATTCACTTCTGGATCCTCATAGAACCCAGCACAGGGCCTGCCACTTGAATGAATAGTTCATAAAAGAATGGGTGAGCAAAAACTGAATTAAATTTTTTAAAAAATAAAACTTAAAGAAAAAGACTGGATGAGTAGAGCCCCAGTTATCTAGACTCCCAGTGCAGTGCTCTCTTTCGCGTCTTGCTGCCTCTGGGAAGCAGGACGTGTGAGGCTTGGAGCTGGGTCGCGGAGGTGGTGCTGATTTCTGGGGTCCAGGGTTCAGCTATCAGGCCCCTCTGTGTCTATTGAGCATGTGCTTGGTGTCAGGCTCTGTGCTAGGCACCGGGGGTCACAGTGGTGAATATAAGAGACCTCATTCCCAGCCTCTTGGGGCTGACAGTCCAGCAGGAGGTGGACAATCGTGACAATTGACAGTTGTGAAGATGACCCCAGCCTCCTGTCTTTTACTATTATTATATGATGACTCTTCCATTGCTTTTAGATCCAGTCACCATAAAAGTCTGGCTCTATCTTCCAACTGCTCCCAGAACCCAACCCCTTCTTGGCACCTCTGTGGCTCCCACCGCCACCCAGGTCAATATCATCTATCACCTTGACTCCTATACCAGCCAGTCATCTGGCCACCTTCACCAGCCAGTTCCCACACAACCACCAGAGTGGTCTTCACCATGCATCCTGCTCACAAGCCCCGCCTAGAACAGAGCCCAAAGCCCTTGTCACAGCCCACCAGGGCCTCCGTGACATGGCCCTTGTGTACCTTTCTGTCCTCTCTCTCCCTTGGCTGCAGCTATACCCAGCTCCTGGCCAGATCTTCACCAGATGGAGTACAGGCTACCTCAGGGCCTTTGCACTTGCTGTTCCCTCTGCAAGAAATGATTTTCCTTCTGTCTTGCCTCATGACCTGCTCCTTTAACTCCTTCAAGTCTTTACTCAAATGTTACCTCTTCACTGAGACCTTCACTGACTGCTCCCCTCTCTTGGCTGCATCTTTCTTTATGGATCTTTTCAGGACTGAAATTGCCTGATACGCTTCTGTGTCCTTGGTCAGTCTCCTCCCTGGCTGTACTGGAGCAGGGGCTTTATCCTATTTGCCCTGCATACCCTGCTCAGAGAGCAGAACATGGTTCCTTCCCGTGCAGCCAGGGTGCTGGGTGCACGTGTGGCCTGGCCAACTCTTTCTGCCTCCTTCGGCCCCTCTTCCACTTGACCCTTGTTGCATCCTAATGATATTGGGCTTCCCCATGATTGATTCTGAAATTGAAGATGGTAAAAAGCTTTTCCAGATCTAGGGTTCTTAGCCAGCTTTGGGTGAAGACCTTCACAGGATTGTGTTTTGAACCCTGAAAGTTCTTGCTCACCACCTGACTTTCTTCCTTCTCTCTGGGCTGGACCTCCTGACCTGGCCCCTTAACACCTCTGCTCAGCTCTTACCCACTCCTGGCAGCTCTCCCAGAGTGCTCCTCTGAAGCATCCTGGGCTTCTCCCATCAATGCACAGTTCATCTTGAGGCATTCTCTGTGTCCCCCTTGTTGGAGAGCCCTTGGAGGGAGGGACTGGGTATACCCCAACTGCCACAGGATCTGAGGCTTCTCCCTTGATCCAAGAACCTAGACACTAGCCCGGAACCTGCTCCTCACTCCCTCCGTCCCTTCTGGTCATTGCAGGTCCTCGGTCTGCCCACGGGAGGCTGAGCTCTCTAGGGCCAGACGGTTGTTCCTCCTGTGTGCCAGCCCCTGCTGGACATCGACATCATCCAGTTCTATTTCTCCTCCAGTAGCCTTGTTTTCTCTACTTAATGGTTGGGAAAACCAAAGTATATATATATAGAGAAAAGGACTTACTCGGGTCACTCCACCAGGATAGACAGAGCAGAGCAGGGCAGGGATTCTGATCTAGGACCTACTGGGGAGGCCATTCAGGCCTAGAGTTCACCCCCACCATGAGCTGCTCTGATTGAGTCCCCAAGTGTAGGGGGAAGGGTGAAA